TACCTCCTTGAGAAGAAATCCATTTTCTTTTCCAACTAGGAATTGTGCCTGGTCTTACGATTGGGACACATGGGCTGGAGATTCTCTGAGGAGCAAGACGCCACAGGAGCAGATCTATGGCAAAGGCTGAGAACTGTGCCCAGCCAGGGAACACTTCGCTGCACCATCCCTGCCCTGGAGATGGACCAACAAAGAGCAAATTAGCAATCAGCATACATTTGTATCAAAACTGGCAAACATGTTGTCAGAGTCAGGAACTTCTGGTATGTCAGGAACAGGTATGTCAGGATTTTTCATATTCTCTTAACAGACAAATAGCTCTTCTCTTAAATCACTGGCCATTTCTAATGCAACAAAATAGACCATAGGAACACATGCTGAAAATAACTAAATATAATAAATAACTAAAAAATAACTAAAATATAACAACATTGTTAAGGATATTTAGAAAAGGAACCAGAAAGTGACAGAAATCTGTCATGAGCTTGCCACTAAGGACAAGGGCAGCTACACCAGATATGGAGAATTTTAGTGAATCACTCAGCCAGTCTTTCCAGACAAAAAAAAAAACAAACAAGGGAATTGAGACGTTTCTGTGTTGGCTTTTGTGTCTTTCTTTGGGTGTTTGCAGCTCACGGTATTTACATTAAATTAATACTGCTGACTATGTATTCTGTACATTGAGGTTAAATAACTGATAGTGTCATAGCTGCTGGCCACTTCTCCTCAGCCCCTCTCCTAGTTAACTGGTCTTTTTTGTCCTTACTTCTCTCCCAGGAAATGCTGACATTTTTCCAGAGTGGACACTATGTGCCATTCACTCAGCTCAAGATTAAACACCCTCTCTTCTAGGCCACTTTCTCCTTTCCCTCCTTCTGCTTGTAGTGAGGGTGGACACCAACATGGGCACTGACTTACATCTGTACAGCTGGGACTGTGATGCAACAAGCTGAACAACAGCACGTTTTCCCAGTGCTTGTCCAGATTCCTCTGTTGGAAACAAATCTTATTTGCTTCAGTAAAGCTATAAACTCAAGGGTGGGGTGGGCCTTGATTTGGCAATGCTTTCTGCCTCCCACACCTCTCTGGTAGAAGTGTTCACATGAGGTCAGACAATTCAAAGAGGAAAAAAAATGGAAGAATCACACCTTTAAAAAAATGTAATTTCTCCATGGCAGTTTTCCACTGCTTTTCATTTTTTTCCTTCAACCAGGCATTTTGAGAATGCATCATTTAAAACAATCAAATTCTCAGAAGAAATTTATTTTACAATGCCCCTTTTCAGAGACGTTTGCACGCAAACTGAGAATTTTCAGGTTTCCCAGGCAGATGAACCTTGTCTGGGCAGAAGCCCATGATAGCTTATGTTATTCAGCATGGCATTATCCCATGCTGTTTACTTATAGCTTGCTGAAAATGAGGGACGATGGAACACATTTTCCAGGGCACACCCTGACTTTATTCTTAGTAAATTCTATTCTCGGCCTAGAAAATCACAATTCTTTGAGCACTTTTTAAAATAATACCTGCTCATTTTCAGCTGTGGGGAGAAGGTGACAATAACCCCTTCAGTACCTCCATTGACAAGCAAAGGGGGCAAGTTCAGAAGACAACCTAACCACCACCTGGGAGACAGAGCTGCAGTGGTAGAGCATGAATTCCTCAAATTCAGAGAATGAGCTTTGGGGATGAGGGAATCCTCTAATAAAATAAACAGAAAATTAAATTCGCCTCCCTTTTTCTCTCACATGTCTCCCATCTACGCCTGCCTGGGAGAGAACAACGGTGGTGCCTAGACATTAGCACTATCAGCACAACTCATTGACGTTAGTTATACAAACACAGGGGTCACATTTCGCCTCTGGCTGGACTCAAGGGAATCCTCTCTTTCCTCCTGAGAAGACTAATGCTGCATCCTGGTGATGAGCACAGGTACCATCAGTACTGGAACGCCAGTCCTTGTTACTACACTTGTAGCTCAGCCTGAGACTACCTGTATATAGACAGGAGTGCATGTCTCAGGAAGCACCTGAGTGGTGCTGGAGGCCATACTGTGGCCATGGGGAGCGGATGGTGTCTACCAACCCCACAGAGGTTCTACAGAGACTAAAGCTGTATTAGAAATGAGACTCATGTCATGCTGCTACTATTTCTATGCATTTCTCCATGTGCAAATAGTAAAATTAATAAAGCATCTTCTATCATCCGTCCAAACTCATCTGGACAACAGCATCAAATATGTTATAAAACACAGGTGTCACTTCTTCTTTTTAAGTGGAAGCTTTGAGTTTCACAGGGACAAGTTCCGTAACTCTCTTCTACAAATTAGGAAGCTCGACTCTCCAGAATTAAAACAAAATTCTAGAAAAAATTCCATTTTGTATTGACATACATATGTATTACGTGTGTGTGCATGCAGCCAACCCTGTGCCTCTGTGTATTGTTCTGAACAGCACTAGGTCACACAGAAAATTGAATGTATTTAAATAAGGTGCAACAAATTCTCCCTGCTCCAAACAAGGTCCTTGGACAATGATGTTCTTTCCTGGTTATATTTACATAAGACAATGGATTATATTTACAAACAGAAATAAAGTTAAACAGCATAGCACCATTTCAGACTAAGTTTGGCTGTTCTAGTGCTCCTCTCTGAAGTTTGGTGAGTCTACACCCTATATTTTCCCCCAGACTACTTATCACATCTGCAGTACCATAAATCTGCCAACTTTTCCTGTCATGTCTACTGCTAATTAGGCTTCGTTGGGGTTTTCACTCTCACACTCTCACATTAGATAAATGCAGTGGCTATAAGCACTGCTAACTGCATTACTGGTTATTGAGGCACTTTCGGTGGTCATGCTAAACCAGCGATAATAAAACAGACTTGCGTGGACACTACCAGAGAGTCAACAAACCCTATTTAGTGCTCCCTAAGTATTGCCCATAAAATATTTAGAGAAGGAAAGAGAAATAATAACTTTCTGTGGTTTGGGGTTTTTTTTGGGGGGGTGGGGGTGGGCCACAACATGACACCAATCAAATTAACCTACCCCTGCTGAACCTGGGGTATAACTAATCATATGAAAGCCAAAAGGTATTTATTTTAATTTTTAGAAAAAGCTCCTTTAGAAGTATATTTAAAAACATCTAGCATTTCAGCAAGAGTTGATAGCTATTGAAAGTTACACAAAAAATAACCACTACAAAACTTGTCTGAAAATATAATAACAAAAATAAAAGTAATTCACATGAGTCCTTTATAAGAGTGATCTCTATAGCCAGAAATGAGATGGCAGTATACTACAGCTAATGCAGATATTATAGCCAAATATATTTGTGGTAACACATCTAAAAGAGAAAGAATGAAAACTGATGTGCAGATTTGCAAAAGATTCAAATACTACTAAAAATTGGGGGAGAGGAAGGGTAGAAGGAGGGGAGGGTACAAGTCTTAATCATTATTTCATGAGGCCCATATTCACAAAGCAATTTTTTACAGATGGTTGGAGGTATTTCTCAGCCTTTAACTGACAGGAATACAGGAGCCTCACAGGCCTTAAGTAGCAATTCTATTCATAGGCTCTTAGCCTTTATATAATTGTATCAAGTACAGTAACAGACGTAAATTAACATGCGCTCACCTCCTGCTCCTATCAATGTATGCCTTGACCTTTTAAGAAACCTCAAGAGTAGAACTAGTTTAGTATTTGATACATTCTCTTTTGGGGGAGATTAAATGCTGGTCTAGGAGGTGCAGGTACTCAAGGCTCTAGCAGGCCTTACCCACCTTTAGCTTTAAGAATCTGCTTTTCTTCAGTACCTATAAACAAGCAAAGTTTGTCTACTTTGGTGGTAAATGAGCTGATACCAGTAAAGCGCTGCTAAGCTTTATGGGTCCTAATGAAGTGCTTAACCTGAGTCAGGTGGTAGCAGAGCCCCCAACTTCTGAAGACATCTGCCCGTAATGACAGCTTTCTGAAGAAAGATATTTTTGTGGTTTTACAGCAAATCATCCATCGCAACTTGTGGGCAGACAACGGCCATCAAGAAATTAGATGCCAAAATGAAAAGACAAAAATGGACTTCTTGCAAAAATCCTTCCTATGAATTTCATTTACTCATAAATTGAATTTAAAATCCAAAAGGAAAAAAAAATGAATATAAAATTAAAAATGTAAAAACACTTTGCTGTAGTTACTTGTCTATAAGCTTTTAATTTTGTAACTGGAATGTATTTCGTCTTTCTCCAAAGTTGCCACGTCTGGAAACAGAGCAGGGTACAATGGCTAAAAATGAGTTAAACAAGGATATTTTTGGTTGTTTTAATGGGACGGGGTCCTTTTGCTTTTAAAATATGTGCTATAAATTAATTTGCCTCTTGATTTTTCTACCTCATGACTATAGTAGTGGGCAGAAAATTGTACTAGCCGTCTCAAGGATTGTGCATTTAAAAAAAAAAGAAGAAGAAAAAAAAAACCTATGAGAAAAAACTACGAGAACTGCAAATGTCGGACAATACATTTAACTATGAAGTGGAAGAGGGTTAACTAGCAAATGAAGAAAGAAAGATGAGGTAAGTAAATAGATTCTAGGCAATGCTCATTAACTTTTTTTCTTCCCCACCTTCTTACGACGACAGGTTTCACTTGAAATCACTTTGACGCTCTGTTTATATATAATTTATATCAACTTTACTTGGATTTCCCCCCCTCTTTCAGTGACCTGACCTCCCTTCCACCAGCATGGACTTTCTCCCGTGTGGATGAGAGGTGTTAGCCTGTACACAGGGGCTGCAGGTGCTGCCTTGAGCCCTATCAGTGCTGGAGGTCCCTGAGGAGCTGTGGCCTAAGGCTGTATTAGGCCAAGCCTGGCTGTAACTAGCACCGGGGTCTAAGGAAACGGCAGTAGCTGGGAACCCAGACGGCTCCCTGGCTTTCCGGAGGGCCCCGTGTGAGTAACCCCGGGGGTGTGGGGGAAACCCGTCGTGCCGCTGCTCTCACCTGCCTGCGGCCCTCGCTGCTCCCACGGTGCCTCCGGCCTCGACGGCGCGTCCGCACCTGTGGGGAAAGGCAGAGGGAAAAGGAGGGTTATTCGGGTCGGGGGTGGCTCCCGCAGGGGTCTCCGCTCCTCCCCGACTCACCTGGCTGCGGATTGCCCTGAAGCCTCGAGGGGAGCGGAGACTGGCTCACGGCCCCACCTGGGCGTCCGTGTCACTCGAGAGGACACGCACACACACAGACACACACACACAGAGCACCAAGTGGAGCCCCGGCAGCTGCCCCAGGCCCAGCCCCAGCACAGCACGTCGGGGGAGACGAGTCCAGCCCGGGACGCGTCTCGGCAGGGCCAGGAGAGGGCCCGACAGGAGAAGGAAAGGGCCGGGGCTTCCCCGGGACGGCCCAGAGGGGCT